TAGAAAATTCTGTTACGTCGATCATATAAAACATATGAATCGAATAATCAACATATTTAAAAAATCAAATATGTAAATATTATTAGAAATGTCAAAATTTTTTGAAAATGAAGTCGAGTTTTCGGAATATATAGTTGCAAAAGACGTAATGAAAACGGATCCGCATAAAGTTGAAGCGATTTGTAACTTTCTATTACCAAAAACAGTACGACAACTTCGAAGATTCATTGGAATGATTGGATATTATAGGAATTGATCAATAGCTAAACCATTAAACAAAAAATTTTAGTAGAAAATGGACATGTATCTCAGCATAAGTAAAAAAAATTGAAGTTTGATTAGAGCAGAACACAATTTTAGCATTTGAAAAATTAAAACAATTACTAACCAATCAAGTAGAATTAACTCTACTAACTCTAAAACCAGGCATATTATTGAATATAATACACTTGAAAATTTAATGACTATTCTAAAATTCTTACAACCAAATCTTGTAACTGCAGTACATTGTACACCTGAAGATTTATATGAGACAAAGGTTAAACTAAAAGAAACATTCACTAACAAATTTTTATTTACAAAAAATTTCCCCGTGGATATAAAAAACAAGGAAGACCAGGGAACAATAATAGAGCAAACGCATAACAGAGCGCACAGGGGTTTTGACTAAAATATTAAACAAATCTCAACTTTTTACTATTGGCCGGAAATGCATAAACAATTTAAAGAATACATTGTGAAATTTGTAATAAAAATAAATATGATAAACATCCCATAAAAATACCTATTGAAGGGGTCCATATATATAAAAAGGAGGGAATACAAATACACATATATAGATATATTTTGTGCACAATCATTAAAATTCATTACATGTATCGGTCGTTATTCAAAGTTTTTGGTTATTAAGCAAATTGAAGATAATATTAATTTAGAAGATAAAGTGTTAGAGATATTACAAAGGTTCCCTAATGTAAAGAGAATAACAATCCAGTGAACCAGGATTTACTACGGTACAATTTAAGTCCCTGATGCAGAGACTTCAGATTGAAATTTATTTCTGCAACCCAAATCATAGCACCACAAATGGTCAGATTGAGAGGGTATATTCAACAATAATTGAAATATCACGATGTATTAAACAAGAATATAATTTAATCAGCTTTCCGAAATCAATGCAATAAAACTATACACACGGTAACTGATAAGAAACCATTCGAAGTCCTATATAATAAGGTCTCTCATGACAATTTACCAGAAAAACTTTTATTAGCACAAACTAAGATGCTAGAAAGACAAAATATAAATAGATTTAACAAAACATATTTATGTGGAGAAGTTATATATGAAAAATTTACAGGGGAGAGAAATACCTAAGCTAAAGCCTAGATACAAGAAACAAGTAATAAAAGAATATTTAGGGAATAAGGTTACAATTAACTACAGAAATAGTATAGTACATAAAGATAATATTAAATCTTGAATTTATATTTTGAGAAAATGAAACCCTTAGTATTTCTTATATTAATTGTTGAAACAATGACGGACATTGTGGACTATACAAGAGAGGATTATGTCTTATTAGAGGACGGAGACGTAGCTTAATATAATGACTATGGCGACAGTTTTCACATTACTAATTTAACTAATTTTAAAGAATTATTAGTAATAAAAAATACAGATATAATAATTTACAAGGGAATAATCAAAATGAGGTAGCATATATTAATGATTTAGATATAGAACCAGAAATTGAACTTATCGAAACTTTATTAGAACAAATACAAAAGAATGATACAAGATATAAAAGAGGGATAAATGAATTAGGGACACTATGGAAGTGGATATCAGGAACATCAGATCATGACGATTTAGTGTTAATAAATAATAAGTTAAACGAACTAACTGAAAATAACAATAAACAATACACAACAAACTCTGAATTTTTTAAAATTATCAGTCAATTGTTAATTACAAATGTAAATGTTCAAATGTCTTTGAACATGCTTATTTTTAGCATCGACAATGCCAAGGGTGCGAGACATATATACAAAAAAAAATCACATAAAATGCATTAATATGCAATACGCATGCATTCTATTCAATAGTCGATAGTAAAAACCCCTTGATTTAAGATAAAAACATGCACATGTTTATATGTACAGATTATACCCAATTAGTTCTAAAAATAAATTTGGGCAATTGCTTGTGTACATCGAAAACAACCCTTTTCACATAACATAAACAATGAGTAACATACATATTCACATACACACATACACATATATTTAGTTAGTTAAGATAGTTTTAAAAATTGTATATAAAGCCTTCAAAAATAAAATAAAAATCAGAATGAATATATTCTCAGCTCAGTGAAGATGTTTATTTCTCCCCCACCAGCGGTAAGAGTCTAAAGATTCTTCATTGATTTTATACAGTAAACGAAAAGTCACATGTTAAACTTTTAATGAAAAGGAAACTTTAATAACTGAACTACAAAATATGGTTCATACGATATCTATGGCAAAAATAGGAATTTTAAACCCTGCAATTTTACATTTAGATGAGGTAAAAAATATAATTCAAAATGAACACGGACGATTGACTATAACTGATTTAATGAACATTTCTAATTTTAAGGTATTACAAAATAAAGATGTTATTGTTATATATACATATTAAGTATCCAAAAATTATAAAAGAATGCAAATATTATGAAGTAAGAGCAATCATACAAGAAAACGGTAAATTAGTAATTGGAAAAATAATTGGAAAATGCAAAAAAGACTATATATTAATATAAAAAATTGTAAAAAGAAATGATAAACACCTATTGTAAAATTAATAACACAAATACTTGCCTATCAGATATTTTGTCCAGAAAAAGAGAAAAATCAAAGAAAAAAAATAAAGCAATAGATGTAATTAAAGAATGGGCAATATTAGTCTATGGAAATAACACAGTTGATAGCTATGCCATAAACCAAGTTTACCTTGTTACTTTTGAGAATTATACAAATATTATTAATATAATATATGAAAATGTCAATTGCAAAATTTGGAAATATTTAAAGAACAATCATACTAACAATTTTGAAATTATAGAATATATTGAAAAATAAATAAAGAAATAAAACTTAAAAAATTAATTTTTATGGTACATAATTGTAATGTTAATAATGTACATAATTTATAGGATAGTAAAATTTAAAAAATCTTATAAAACTTCCAAAATAAATAAAAAATTAGAATTTCAAGAAAAATCGTATAACGCTATTTTGGATAAAATAAATAACCTATCAAAAAATGATATTGAATCGGGGACGATTCACCTCAGAGGGGGGAGTTCACGGCAGCCTCCACACAGTAGCTTTACGCTAATTGTAAAAAAAACTGTATCTTTGCACTTAGCAATTATACAACCTCTTAATAAGCATCTTTGCTTATTTAAGTAACTGATATTATTTTTCGTTCAGCTAAGACCACCCACAAAATGTAAACAATAGCAAATATAAAACCAATTACTGAATAAGCTAATATTGTAACGACACTCTCTTTATTGTAAGAATTAAGCAAATAAGAAAAATATATAAATAATAGTAAATTTAAATAAAGAGTTCAGTTATCCATCAGGACCACTCTCACTATCTTTTTGATTTCTTCAGCGCGTTCGCGGAAAACCATATATTTTTTTAACACTTCCTAATCGAAGTTAATTTTTATTTATTGATAAGTGATAATATCAAAAACTCTATTCCTCCATATGTACGTACCAGAGAATGCAAATGAACTCCATATTGATGTACATATGTACATACATAAATTATTAATTATGTAACAATTGAAATCAGAATATTAGAAAAAAGTAAAATATATTTTTTCATCATAAAAATCACTTATACTTGCATGACAAAAAATAATTACGCATATGTGAAGTGTCATTTGTATTTTTTGTTCAAAGTATTTCATTTTTCTCTTTATGTTGGTAGATACGTATTTCTGCCAGATAACGTTGTTATAAATTCTCATTTATGTAAAATACCGGCGAATACTACAGAAAATGGTGAACTTCCTGCTCGGAATTTTTCAGTTCTGTTAGTCGTCCTATAGAGCATCATACAAAATTCAATTTGCATCTTCTCGTCCATTTACGTTCTCTGATTCACCTACAAAATGACCCAGCTCCTCCCATGAGTTTTCAAAACAATTGTTAGAAATTAGTGATGACAAATACAAATCGACAGTACCAACGGATTGATCGCTGTATCGAACAGCTTTTGTACAATTGCGCAATCGGTAGATGACTTGATTGAATGTGCATTTTAGCACCGCAGAACATTCATAGCAATGCCTTTAATTTTCAAATTCAAGCGAAACTGCCAGGTGTAGTCACGACATATAAATCAATTGACAATGTTATGAATGAAGATGAGGCAATGAATTATCCAATTGAATTTTTAAACATGCTTTTCACATGACCAACTTTATGTTGCATGTTCCAGAGTCGGTATATCCATTCGTTTGTTTATCCAAATATTTTGGATTAAGTTTTAAAATAGCTTCAGTAAATGAATTTGATATTCCAATTAAATTTTTTTATTATTTCACTTTATAAGTAGCGAAGCACGTACCGGGCCGCTAGTATAGTAATAAAATTAAGGGAGTTTATGATCTTCAAAATATGTTAATATGATACATTTGATTATAATCCATTCCCGATTTCGTCGAACAATGATGTTGAATCCTTTCATTTTTTAATATCCAACACGTGAAGGCATTTAGCCGGCTTTGATCCTTGCAAGTTACAAGAGTATGAAATGCTTGCTTACACCCAAACTTAGCCTTTCCTTACTTGTTTGTTTTATTTATGTATGGGTTTGACTTCTAACATAATTGAGATATTAACTATCCTATCTTTTAAGTCGGATCAAACTGGACACAAAGTTTTACTCAAATCGGTTGAGCAGTTTAGGATTTTGCCAACGACAAAATGTGGCACATAATTTTTATATATATAGATATCTGATTTTATTTGATCTTTTTACTTAAAATCAATCAATCAATAAAACAAATAGTTCATAAACGTAAAGTGTGTATAAGAAATTAGACGCTATCATTTTCAATATTACAAACTAAAACTTGCAAAATAATAGAAGCATACAAAACAAAAGATATCAAAAATAAATAGTATACCTTTGAAAGGCAAACTCATCAATTAATTTATCTGACATTTTTATATTAATGCTGTCTAAATAATAAGAACTAATGTTATATTATTAAAAAAAAAACAAAATTGCAAGTACGTTTATCCATATTTGTATGTGCAAAGGCGAAAAAACTATTCCACTAGCAGTTCGTAGTTTTCTACATCTTTACACATGCTGTTGAATTCGTTCACAAAGGATTCCATTTCAGTATTCATTTTGGCATTACTATGTGCTTCGTGTCGTGTGTTCTTTGGTCCATCTTTCATTTGCTTGAGTTCCTCTTCTTCGGAATCTGAATTGGATTCTTCACTATCTTCAAACATCACGAAATTTTTACGCGTTTTGCGTTTCCTCTTGGCAGGGCGGACATATGTTCGCAGTGTCTTCTGTAAAAGATAGCGATTTGTCTGATGTATAATAATAAAATGAATGCATTTGCGTATGTTAAAATATAACTGTATATATAAAATTTGAATAACAATTTTTAATGCTAATGTAGGAGCTTCATACTACCAATAAAGATGTTCTTTACTCTTTGAGGCCCTGTGAGCTCCAATTGCTTAGCAAAGTATTTTATTAGCAAAATATTTCGTTAGCAAAATTTCATACTATAGCGAATGACACAGCAAGGATTTCATATCAAGAAGTGAAATTCAATATGCATGATCTTCGCTAAAAAATTATACTAATTTCTGTAAAAATAAACCTTAAAATTTAATACCTTTTTGTGGAAAGTAGGTTCAGGTTCATAGTCATTAAAAAAATCTGTTCCCGGTGATTGCATATTACGATCATCATTGTCACACATCGAAACATCATTAAAAGTTTCATTATTTTGTTGCACCTTTGTTTTACCATTATTCAAATTATTAATCATGGTAGAGCAAAGCATTTCATTAATAAGCCGTTGTTTCGGGCCATTATTGCCGAAAACATCATCGGTTTTTGGTGGAACACTATTATTATTATGAGCAGAGATTTTGGGTCGCCATTTTTGTAGATCCTTGAGTTTCGAGTGTAAATTGTGATTAAGCGGCTTTACATTAGTTTTATTTGGCTCTTCATCGCCGTCAGAGTTGTGATCTAAAAATTCTTCAAAACCGAATAAATCTTCTTCATGGTTATTAGCACATTGTGTAACATCACCAGTAACCGTTGTAACTGCTTCTTTAATTACTTCATCATTCACAGTTTTTTTCCATGATGGCAGACTTACAACTTCTATTATATTTATGGCTTTTAGAGGACTTCGCTTTCTAAGTGTACGTCGCGGATTATGCAACTGACGCAAATTGAATATGGAGGCATTCTCGTCGTTATTCGGCACAGTTAAAGCTGTCGGTGGCATATTTTCTACATTCGAATCATTTTTGGACTCTAGCGAGTTCGGCAATTGACCGCTTGGAACACTGTTAGACGTATTTCTTGTTACGTTGGAGCAATTGTCTTTTATAGTTATATTGGAGACAGTACATATTTGTGAGTCATTAGATTTGTTTTTCTTCGGTGTAGGAGGAATATAATCACTGGAAAATGTTGGCAGGCATGACGTATTTTTGGTGAAATTAAATACTGACGGTAGGTGCGAATCATCGTTTATCCTCCAAGGCGAGGGACACACTGGACGATTTTGTGGACTGGGAAATTTAATGGGCGATAAATCGGATGTCGGTAAATCTCTACTTTGACTATTCACGGCCGGAGTACTAACAAATTTACGTGCAACTTCTAGCAGTCGACGTTGCTCAGTAAGCTAAAAGAAAAGCAGGAACATGTTTTTTTAGAGGCAACTAAAAATATTATAGAAAAAAAAACTGTTCATACATTTTTTTTGTAAGTGTTTTCGACTTTCCTTGTTTCTTTCAACAGCACTGAGCGTGCTAATCGGCTAAAGCCTTTATCGCGTATATGTTCATCCGTTCCTGAAATGACATTTGTAAGAATATTCTGTTGTTGCTCGTTATTAACCACAGAATTATCCTCTACAATAAAACCAGGAGGTGCGGGTAATATGGTTCCAACATCATAATTGTCAAATGTTTCTAATAATTTTGATGGCTTATTGTTAACAGTGTTAACTGATTTGTTCCCTTTTTCCTTAGAGGTCTTATTTTTATTAGCTTCTTTTTTTTTTCTTCCAGATATTAAACGTCGTCGTTTTAAAATAGGTCGTCCTGTTCCTTTATGATTAGTTGCCACTCTTACCTTTCCCTCAGATATTAATTTTTTTATTACATCCGCTGCAGGATCTTGGTGCTTTGCAACCTCAGATTCTGAAGTGTCGGATTGGGACAAAAAATCGAATATGTTTTGTGACGTTGTACTTTTTGTTCTTAAGAGTACTTTTTGCTCCGGTGTCCGCTGAAAAAATTTATGGCTTGACTTATAATTTTTTTTTAACTGGACTTGGCTAGATGTGTCGCGCCCCTCTTCGGAATCATCATTGGAACAAATTACTTGCTCTATTAAATCAGAGTTATTAATTAAATTTTTTGAAGACCTTACCCCTGTAATATGGAATTGCGGAAATATTAGCATTAAAATAATTGATGTTCTAGATTATTACCTTTGGAGTTGGAATGTGGCAAATTTTCTTTATGTTTAGTAAAACGAGAAATGTTACGGTTTTTCATAGAATTGTGGTTTATTGTGGTCCGGTCACTTGAAGACTTCGATAGACTAAGCTTATTTAAACTTTTACGAAGATGCGGAGTAAGTACAACATTTGCTATAATTATGTTTTCTTTGGCGGTTTGAATTTTTGATGGCATTATTCCATTCGGTTTTACATTGTGTTTTGGAAAAGTACCAGACTCTTTGCAAGTCTTCTCATGAATACTTTTCTTCATTGTAGTTCTGGTTTTCATCTCTTCGTCGTTTCTGGAAACTTTCGTTTTTTGAACTAAAAAAAAATTAAGGTTTTCACTTTTATTGTAACTATATTTTTATAAGAGACATACCAATTTCTCGCTCAAGGTTTTCTATTTGATGTGTTACTACGTTAATTCTTTTTACCCTAACTCTTAATGGCTTACAACCTATAAATGAATAAAATATTTTATATATAATATATATATATCAACTGCTACATCTACAATATATCAAAACCTTTTGGCAAACTATTTATTACTGGCTCAGTTAAGTTTTGACGTTCACAACATTTCAGATTAGCTGCCTTTTTAAAAGCTGTAGGTATTTGCAATTGCTTTTTGGAAGCCGAATTAGATAAGCATTGTTCCTGCAATGCCACATTATTCAGACTGAACGGGGGAAATATTTTGGAGTATTTATCAACGGGCAGTCGTTTTAACTTTACAACAAAGTTTCTGCATTCTAAAAGTTGATAGATAGAAATACATGCAAATATTAAGAAGTTTAATAGATCTTAAATATATATTCAAACCTTGATCATTCTGCATTGGATGTACAATAGCTGGTGGGTTTTGAGTACTGAGAAGGTTTGGTGTCGTCAATAATGCGTGGTTTCTATTGTTACACTAACTCTTATGTGGGTTTTGTCTATATATCTTTGCTAAAAACCCGGGTTCTTGAAAATATTTTTACACACTCTACATGCTAGCAATTGCTTCAATACAACGATTTTATTCATTCAAGGCTCCCAAAGAATTATATGTAGTCAAATGATTTTTGTTTTTTTGTAATTGGTAGTCAAATCTGCGATAAAAATATATTATATGCACAAACCGTGTATACGATATTAAAATAGAGCTAAACAAAATTTAAGTTTCCAGGATCAACAAACTTAATACGTATTATTTTCGCTTCTTCTTGGTAAATCCAATTGTACAAATATTCGCTGTTTTTGTTCATACCCAAAGCTGTATTACGAACTAGTGTTGCCATATCTATCTCAACTATAAAAATGTCTTCAGTATGTTACTTTTACCAGAGAATGTAAAAAGTAGAGAAGGTCCAACTACGGACCAGCGTGTGAATTGTCAAACCTAACAAAATACGATGAGCGTGTTTCACCACAGCTAGCTCGGAAGGAGAAATTTTAACAGTGACATGTGAACATAGCAGCAAATTATGCTCAGAAGTTTGCATAGATATTTTCAGTACCCCTCTCAAAAGTGATGAAACACGCTCATCGTTTTTAGTTCCCCTGCGAAAAGTGAAATATTTTGATAAAGGCCGCACTTTGAACCTTCTCTATAATCTACATTCTCTGCGCCTATATCACATTATATATTTGTATATAATATAAGTTCTCTGCCAAGAACACAAAGCGTGTCACCCGAGCAAGTGTGTCCCTTCGTCTTTCCTCGTAATTTCTCGCCCACAATAAACCGGCTTGGGACAGAGAACGTATGATATACGTTCTCTGCTTGGGATACAAAAGAATCTGTGTATGAACTGTCACTTGCTAGCAATTCAGATTTTTAGCAATCTTTAATTGCCTGTCGAGATGTTCAGTAACTGTAATAAAAGGTTCATTTCATAACTGGTAGTAGCTGCTAGCTATCAGGAAGAACATGAATGCACGTTATTGTCATAATGATCAAAATAACGATGAGTATTATCTGTTTCTTGTACCTGTGCTCTCTTCTGCTGGTTTTTTGGATTAAGAAATGCTTTTCCAGCAGAAACTGGCTAGCTAGTGATAGCAGTAATAAAACAAACGTATTTCAGTAAATCATTTGAAAAATAAATTCTAATGGCTGAATCTGCAAAATTATGATAAAAAATATTCGCACATATATCCACCTCACATTTAGAGCTTTCGAGATATTTGTATTTAAAGTTCAAAAATTGTAACAGTAATGCACTCTATTTCACAATGTTTAACACACAAAGTAAAATAGTGATTATTGAACTTAAAAAAACAAATATCTCGAAAACTATAAGTCTGAGGCGGGTATATGTGTATACATCTTATAATCCTGAGGATCTTCTCTATTCGTCCGTACTATCAAATTGCGGCGCCAAAGAAGCCGCTCATTCACATAAAACGTTTGCTTCGCTTCAGACATCTGCTTTGACAGAAAAGTTCGAAGTATGCTTTATCGTTCCCTGCATGGAAATTAAAGCGTTCATTCTGACATCCCTTTGCAGAGAACTTAGCAAATTGTATTTTTTATTCAAAGTATTTCATTTTTATCTTTATGTTGGTAGATACGTATTTCTGCCAGAGAACGTAGATATAAATTCTCATTTCTGTTAAATAGGAGCGAATACCACAGAAAATGGTAAATTTCCTGCTCGGAATTTTTCAGCTCTATTAGCCGTCCAATCGAGCATCATCGAAAATTCAATTTTCACCTTTTTGTTCTTCTAAGTTCTCTGGTTAAAGTATAAATTGTCAAGCAAAGCGAGGAAAGTTGTTTGTTGTTGAATTTTGTAGAAGTTCACTGGCATGCACCTATTTCGATTATATATATATATAAGTATACCATATATATACGACTATAACTGTACCGCATACTTTGTATAGACTTTTGAAAGAACAACTTCTCTTTAAATAGAACATTAATATTTCTGTATTAAAGGTGAGAACACATTTTTTTTAGAAGTTTGCTAGGAAATTCTTTGGAGACATAAGCTGTGAATAACTAAACAAAGAAATTAAACAAACTGGCATCCTTGTTGATATAACGCCATTTGTAAAACATAATACTTACACATTAAAGCAGTTTCGAGTACCAAATAAATTATTTTGTGATTTGCCAAGAATGACAAGTATTGGGGATCTTTTCACAAAATATAATTGTACAAATTGCCAGGACGATATCTCCGGTATTCGTGTACATTGTGCAGAATGTGAAAATTTTGATTTATGTCTTCAGGTGAGTAATTAATTTATATGGAATGTATTCATTGTACTCGTTGAGAATTCGGAAGCGTTCGTTCGTCGAAAGTAGCGAATGACTTGAGCATCCACTTCGGTATTTCTCATATGACATTTCCATTCTACATATTCCATGGATTGGAAGATTTACAAAAAACAGCTGAAAATGTTTATAATATGAAATTTGGTTCGTAGTGTTTTGCCTCCGGGGCGGAGATTGGCACACATCAAAATAATCATGCTTATCAATTTATGGATACCGGCACCGCAATATTGTCTGTATTTCGAGGCAAGGGCGCTTGGACTGCAAGAGAAGAAATACGACTACTTGATGCTATAGAACAATATGGATTTGGAAATTGGGAAGATATAAGTAAACACATTGAGACGAAGTCAGCAGAGGACGCCAAAGAAGAATATGTGAAACGATTCGTTAATGGCGCAATTGGTCTTCACACTTGGACACCTGCCCAATCACAACGACCCTTGTTAGTTGATCACACTTCTGAGGACAGTGGACCTTTGGGCGCCACAGCTTTACAACGCCTGCCTCCTTTGGACATTACGAATGAAGAAGCTGCTCAGTTAGGTTATATGCCAAATCGGGATGGGTTTGAACGTGAATATGATCCCACAGCTGAACAGTTAATATCGACAATGTCGCTCAGCACAGAAGACACCGAAGCTGATTATTTATTAAAATTGGCTCACGTCGACATGTATACACGTCGTTTACGTGAACGAGTACGACGTAAAAGGCTGGTTCGTGATTATCAACTTGTAGCTAACTTCTTTCGCAATCGTAATTATGCACAACATCCAGGCATGACACGTGAGCAAAAAGAGTTCCGTGACCGTTTTCGTGTCTTTGCTCAATTTTACACATCAAATGAGTACGAGCGACTACTGATGTCCCTCGAACGGGAAAAAGAGTTGCGTATACGTTTGGCTGAGCTATGTCGCTATAGATTCAACGGATTAACTAAAATTGACGAGTGTCGACACTTTGAACAACATGCAGCTATGTCTTTGAATCGTTCCACTGGGCCCTATGGTCATGGAAAAACTGTAAGTCCTTGCTTAAATCTAGGATTAAATTGCATTTACTGCTAATATAAAGGAGTAAAAATTGATATTTTACTATTACACAATATACGAGGACTTGTTGTCATGACGTTATAGTATGCATATGTATGTATATACAAGTATTATTTGCATGTGATAAATAAGATAATTAAGATGATTTTTACATATAATGTGTATGTATGTACATCTATTTAAATGTAGTTGGTAGTACTTTTTTCATTTTATATATATACATATGTAGTTATCGCTTAAACTGACAATACACGAAAGATTGAATATCGTGTCGTATTTAGAAGAATTCTAACGACTTGCCTTGAAACATATGCTAGTTTAGCTAGGCTCATTATATTCCATTCCATTTTCACGATATTCAGTTTGCGTGTATTATCGGCACACCAAGCGGCGAACGTTTGAACGGATGTATAAGACAATGTTTAACCACAGGACAACACGCACCTCAGCATTGGAAGTCGTCGGCAGCTAGGCTCTTCCTTACACTCTCCACAACACAGCAGCAGAAAACCGTAAGCCGTAACCATTACACTTCATATATTAATGAAAAAAGCTTTGTTAATAATCATATGATTTCTATATGTATATATAAATATTTCACAGCGAGCTGTCAAACGGAGGCGAGGCAAATCTAAATTCAATCGCGTCAAGAAACACGCTCCACACCGGCGACCTGACCTCCTCCGGCGCATTATTGCACAACAGAAATTACTTGGATAGCTGTCGGGAATCGTCGGTTCATACGACGATATCGCAAGCGGGGATGATAGTGGGAGCGGGCACGATGACTACAACCAAGTTAACGAACGGAAATCTACAGTCATTGATACCAATTCAGCAGTATACGACGACGATGGGAATAAAAAATCAACAAACACCACAATTACAAATAAACGACGTCGCCGTAAGCGGAAAACAACATCTACAACAACTGCTGTTGCAGGAAAATAATAATTTTGACGTTAAGACACTTCCAATGAGTAGTATTTTGCGTGCACAGTTAGATGAATTAAAGCACTTGCAACAACCGTTGGGCACCGATTTATTATCTACAAATGAACAGCAATTTTGTAAAGACTTCAACCTTCCTCCTACGACATATTTATCCCTAAAGACTTGTTTGCTTAGCGGCGCTCCCATTGTTAATCATTTGTCACCCGTTGAAAACTCTCTAAGAAAGTACTTTATAAAAGTAGGTTGGCTAAGTCATTAGACTCACTGAGGTTATGATATTTGTACGCGCATATGTGTGATTTGTTAACAAACAAATGGAAACTCAACTATTACTGCTTAAGCCGCCAGCTAATATCACGCATCAACAACGTAAGGTGACAAGGTGTTTATATTAAAGTAATTTATAATTGGTATAATTCATAATCAAATTATATATATAACATTAGATACATAAATTTCACATATATTTGAAGATCTATGAAAACTCAATATATAATATTTATTTAGCTTAAAATTTAGCAATAATTAGCAATTATCTAAATGCTTACTTGTATCAAGTCTTCATTTTTGGTTTTCTGTAACCATGTTTTTCTAAGAATGGTTAATCCCTAAGAAACGGCCTAGTTTTAAAATGTCAAAATCATTTATGTAATGGTATAAAATTTATTTATTCTTACATGCAGTAGTTCGCTGTTCGTTTAGTGTGAATATAAAAATAGACATATACTATTAGAATTTAGATCTGAAAATAAATTATAATATGAAATTTATGCTATATACATAATGACTTTCTAATAAGCGATAATATCCGTCACAGGGGCTTAATCTTAAAAAGTAAATGGCCAAATTCCAACGGAATGTAGTTGTTTGCAGGCTACGTAATAAGGAAAATATATGGTTTATGGAGATTTTTATTTTGATCAGTATGAATGGCAGCTATATGCTACAGTGGTCCGATCTTAACCATTTGAGGTTGTAGTGTTGCCTTGGACAATAATATATGCTAAATTTCCTGAATTTTAATTTGTCAAATTAAAAGTTTTCCAATCTAAAACTTCATGTTGGTCGGTTGTTGTTGTTGTAGCGACAGAATTCTGTCGAGTTGACAGTCCTTGGCCGGAATAAATCCGGGTCCGTTCCGGTTACGTAGACCCGACTGTCGTGGGAACGGTCATGTTGGTCGGTCAGTTTGTATGACAGTTTTATGCAATAATGGGCCGATATGAATTATTTATTATGGCAGCTATATGCTATAGTGGTCCGATATCGACGGTTCCAATAAATGGGATAAAAAGGACGTGTGGAAATTTCAGATCAATATCTCAAAAACTGCGGTACTAGACAGACGGACATGACTTAATGGACTCAGCTCTTTATGTACCCTATTCAGGGTATAAAATTTACTCCAGTAAATAAAACTGCGGATGGGTATACGCATCGATCACTTAAAGTTGGAATTAGAAGCATAATAAAAAGTATTCTATGAATAACGAGCATGAATACAAATAAAAAGAAATAAAACAACAATACGCCAGGGGCAGTCAGCGGACAAAGGTTCCATTTTATAAAAATCCCCTCGGTGTCAGACAGACAGTCCTTTGAAGAACACGTGAGGTACGAAGTGCTATTTTTCATTGATATTACCGTAGGCGAGACACTACCAGGTAATTACACCGAGTCAAGCACAGCTAAAGCTCTTCAGACAAGAAAAACGATGAACTCCACAATACCTCGCTTTAACAGGTCGAGTCGGGATATTCACACCTGGCTGGAACAGGTTGGTTGCTTTGAGACATTCTTTCCTAATGTGCAGTTCAAGACGTCTGGATAACACTTTTTTTAAATTGTCAAAATACTGTCCATTTTAATATTAGCAAAGCAATAATTTCGACATTTACTTGTATTTTTTATTAAAAAAAGTGTTTTTAATTTTCTATGTTTAACAAATGCTTGTTTAGCTTTACAACAATTAATGCAAACAGTTTTAAAAAAATTTAAATGTATGTTGTCAACCTGCGCCAAATTAAGAACCCTGTAAAATAACATTAAGGTTTTATATTAGGTGGAACTATAGGCATATTTCATATGCCATATGGTATATGTAAATACCTAGCCAATCCTTGGATAAATAAGCGTTTCACCAATAAGTAACAACAATCCAGAATATCACTTATTTCTAAGGAAATACCGATATAGGGTATTTTTCTGGGCACCACTGCTATTGGTAGCCGCACCACCAGCTTTAGCTGTGACAGCACTTGCTGATTGATTCGTATGAGCTGTACCAGAGGGGATATTAGTACTCGTTGATCTAATATTGCCATTAGCCACGGCAACTGCAGCAGCAGCTAGAGAACTGCGCCAAGATTCAATCAATTCATTTTGAACATCCAATGGTAACTCATTGAATACAGTTGTATCCACACCAGCCGGGCATGGAATATTGGAGACATTTCCAGTGATGGTAGTAGTGTTCGTAGTTGTTGGAACTGCCTCAGATGCTGTTGATATATCCTCAAGATATCCCAACATTAAGTGAGTAGATTGAATTGAGTCAGAAGTCTGTGTTATTGTAGGAATGTCACAACTTGTCGGTGTACTAGCTGTACTACCCGTTTCGTCCATTGGTGATGGTAATGGCGATGAGGTTGTTGATGATGGCGTCGATGATATTTGTCTTTGCGTTGTAAAAGAACGATTTCCTGCCGACAATCGATTAACTTTCATAAGTAATGACGAAGGAGGTTGTATCGTTCGAAATCGTTGCAGGGGTGTACATGTAGTCGATGCTGTTGTTGCAGTGGAGGATACTACCGAAGGCGCTGAGCTGATAGTACTTGTTGGAATGTTTGATGGACTTGTAATCAAATCTTTTTCACTATCTCGTGAATTTAAACGCAAATCACAAACACGAAGTTTACTTGGGGATGCGACGTCAGCAGTGTCAGTACACATGGATGAATTTCCTAAACATCGTCGTTTTGCCATTAATAAACGACCAATACGACTCTTTTTTGGAGAAGGTTCAATTTCAGTTTCAGAGAAATCTGAGAAATCCGAATTAGTTGCTGCAGATTCAGAACCATTGTCAATAAGCATTGGTATAGGTGAAGCAGCAGTTGCTCGTCGACGATAAAACTGATCACTTGGCTGAAATGTTGTGGGTGACGAACGAAATGCTTCGTCGTTATTTGGTGAAGGTATTGGGGCAGCTGGACTCTCTGATGATGTGGGTACATCAATGTTTGTCAGTGAAGTTATGGACTGTACTTCTAAATCAGTTTTTTTAATTAGGAAATTTGCAATGGACGATGAACCAAGTTTTCTTTGTTGAAACTTTGAAAACGCCAGACCGATAAGAGTAATATTAAAGGGTTTAGTAAGATCAACAACGCGTTCGAACAGGCGTAATATAATCTTCAGCAACTTTTCTTGTGCGCCTTCTGCGAGTACCACCTTTGGTCCACCACTTTCCGTTCCTGTTTGTGATCTAAATAGCGAAGGCAAAATGTTAACTTGTTTAGTTTCTCGATGACTTGTTTTTTTCTGAGGATCGAATTTACGTAAAATCACTTTAATGGCAATTGGTATACGGCCATCCTCTGCAACCTGTTCAAATTTATAAAATCTTTTGTTAAAAACTAAGGTCGGTTAAAAATACACGCGTACCTGTTCCACCAAACGCATAAGCAATAAGCGAAAACGATCTTCAACGTCTCTTCGCACGGATATCGGTCGGCAAGAATCTTCGAGCCCTATTGTTTTAGGTCTGCCGGATGGACGCACTGAACTCATATCTTTTCCAAATGATAAGTCTTTCAATTTTGTAGCCGTTTCAAAGCCAAATTTTTTTCGAAGCGACTCCATGTTACATATTTGCAATTCAGTAATGTTAGCAATACCACTTTCAAGAAGCAGTGATTCGGTTTTTTGTCCGATACCAGTAACTTTATGCAAACTGTTCAAATAACGCATAAACTCGTCCGCATAGTTTGAACATAGAACAGTCTGTTGGTTGGGTTTATGTTGAGAACCTACTAATTTTGCCAACAGTTTGTTATACGATACCCCAGCACAACATGTGACATTTAGTTGTTTATGCAAAGCAAAACGTATTTCTTTAGCAATTTGTGTACCCACTGCTAATCGCTGTGCGCAACCACATTCACAGCTTTGCGAAAGGTTAGCACTTTCCGGATATATATGACCTTCGATTTTGGGAAATATGCTGGAGGCAATAGCAGAACTTTCGACATGTTCATATTGGTTTTTTTCTATACGATTACACACTTGGGCTGTTACGTCCAAATAATTTTCATCGAAACCCAATTTCTCCACCAATGGTGTAAAAGTCAAAAGTGCATCAAAAATACGCTGAGATATTTGTTTATATGGTGTCAAATCTTCGCCATTGACCAATGTTAGTGTAGGACATAGACGTTGTGCTTCCTCAACGGTCATCAATTTGTTGACACCGAATTCACGAGCTAGATAATTGCAAGTAACCACAAGATTTTTTTGTTGAATTCCCAGGGGTCGTGAGCGCAAAGTGGGATCACGTATTTCTTCAACCTGGGCATAGAAACAATCCATGTCTATGTGAATTATAGTGCGCTGATGCGGTTCACTGCGGTTAATAACATTTGAAAATTCCATTTTAGGCTATAAGGCGATTATCTGAAAAAGATTTCGTTTCTTTGTTTAAAACTTCTTCTATTACAAATTATGTACATATGCATATTATTTTTGATAATCACTATATATAACCCAAGAAAGATTAATTTATAAATATTTTGGGAAACCAATATTGAACAAAATATGCATTTCAATCCGTATGGTACGCCGCAGAGTTACCATTAAACAACAACAAATCTGTGGTCCGTTCCCACGACAGTCGGGTCTACGTAACCGGAACGGACCCAACTTTTATCCAGTCGAGGAGTATCAGCTCGGTAGAATTCTGCCGCTACAACAACAAATTTGTGGTAGAGCCCTCCATTTGATTTTATCAATTTTTAAAATTAAATATTCAATATTTATATAAAGGTTTTATACATGATTACTTTCCCGTCATCAGCTACACCCAAAGCCTTTTGCGAGCGAGGTAGAAGACACTAATAGTTTATGTTACACTAACAGACCGTCACGCCATACCTAGAACTACCAGATGTAGTTTCTCTATTAATACGAGCTAAGGTTAACGTCGTGCAGCACGTCAAGGCATTTATCAAAGTTTAACAGATACTAATATCTAATCCTGCTACTTCATCTAAGATATCTAAACCGAGTTCTAGATAAGGTTGGACATAAGCAGAGATGTGCCAGCGTCTCGCATGCCTTATTCCCTGAACTCTCTGCCCATACGGCTCGAATATGATGCTAGTAAGTTATGACCTGTGACTAGGGCACTAGCTGCCCTGCGGTCTATTCGAGACCGTGTGAGTAGAAAGCTTACTATTTTCCCTCTGCTCTCTTGCACATAATTTTAGCGATCCGGCATGCCCCTAAGGCATTCCATCTTACCCTGATCCGTCTGTCAGTCGTTTCGGAAATTTCATTCCATCGCAAACCGTTGATCAAAACAAAATAGCAACAGTTACTCCGTTACTAATTCGCCATTGAATGTTTTGTACTTTCTCTCTTTCATTTTCCGACGTTTGTACGACACAATCTTTCTACACTTCTATTCAATTTCGTAATTTCGGGAAGGAAATAATAACATAAAGAATAGTCAAAGTTAAAACCATAACAATGAGTTTTGCCAAAAAAAAGAACTACCATGTTTCTCAATCTCCTAAAAAATATGACTTGGATAAGAGAGATAACAAATCGCATCTCATAAATATTACTGTTTGCTCATGTTTCCTTCTTAAACAATTATTAACGGAGGAAATCTAACGATTGCGTATATGGTAATGCTGTAATTACTATCTCAATGATTTCAGATAAATTAATTAAACAAAGTCTAATCCAAAACCATTATGAAAAGCACATTTTCAATTTCCCGTTAGCTGATATATAAATATATCTTATATAAAAAAAATAATATAAACATGGGGAAAGTTTGTTAGTGTGTTAGCGAATGTCAGGAATTGTAAGCCCACAAAAGCCGATTTGAAAAAACATTGAAGCAATGTGTGTAACAGATTTAGGTGATTCCTTGGTATTTGAAGTAATTCAATATTAACTTTAATTTACTTTTATAATACCCTCTCCAAAGTATAACATGCGAATGACAAGACGACGGCGATGTATGGAAGACAAAGACGAAGGTCATGGCGATAGCAAGAACGTAATAAATGGCGACAAAGCCCCAATTGTACGAAGTTTGAAAGGAGCTTCACTAGCTTTCACTTTTGTTTTGCTAAGTTTCTTACCTTGGAATACTCTTATTTTTCTATTGCCAGGTGCTATTGGTTTTCGTCGTCGTCTTTCCTTACATTAATCACTTTTACGACACCTCAAAAATCTATATTTTGTATTTTTCATCTAACAAAAATTCCAGCTGTGAATATCTGTCTACTTGTGATTAACCGTTCTACTTACTTTATCATTTTTTATATTTCTCCAGCTGTACGTATAATTCAGCTATTCAGCGCGAGTTCAAAAAGCTTAAGTGCGTCATACACAACGAAATTTACAGGTTTGACGATTAAAGTAATATCTTATCTTATTGTGAACCAAATGTAGCAACAGAAACCATTGAGAAACACTACAATGCTTTTTAAAAGTCATGTAAGTGGCTCAAAATTATGAATTTTGATGACATATTATATTTAAACACAATAACATGCAAATCAGAACTTAAAAGTGAGTCAGAGAATATGAAGCGGTTGTTTACAATTAAGGCAATTCATTGTGAATGGAAAATGTCTGTCTAAAATAAAGTAATTTTTGAAGAAAATATGCTATATATAGAACTTAAAAGAACCAGAAGGTGTAGGTTCGACAGCGACATTTGTAAAATGCCGTCGGCATTTCACATTCATGCTACATGTTGCTTTTCTCAACCAGGGACATTGTATAAATCTAGGCTTATAAAATGACCAGGGATTTCCTAGCATATGTAACGTATGAATGTAAAGAATTTTGTATTGCCGTCGGCATTTTCTTATGTATCTAATTACTTATGTGTACATGTAAAAATATGAATGAGAAATATTTGTAATTTGTCTACAATCAACATATGTATGTATGTACACTCATTACTTCATGTGAAATCTCCGTTTACACGGTCAACCAATGACCGAAGCTCGCGTTTTTACTTTCATGTCAAAGAGAAACCACTAAAATGACAGTACATTGGTCATAATTGTCAAGATAAGTATTTAGACAATTATAGCTAAACATAATGCAGGTTTCATTGGCAATATAGCTAGCAATAAGTTTCTTAATCTAGTTCTCGTCAACTCTGTTGTTGACATTTCCGAATCATCCCTATTTGTTCAAATTGTACTAACTTTTGGTAAAGTTTAACGGCGGATTTTCTTTATTGGTTTAGATATACAATTGGTAATTTTTATTTCATTACAAGGTTGATATAAAATTTGCAAATAATAAGTCCTAGCATATCAAGAAGAAGTATTGAAAATGGAGTCAAAGTTACCAAAGCCTTCGGGAATAAAACGTCCAACAGCGCTTACGAGAAATATTTTGCCTATGGACCGAATAAAAACAGCAACGCTTGGTTTGCGTTCAAAATCGTCGAATTTGTCTATATGTACGTTGGATAATTTTCAGCCTCTTTCTCGTGATCTTACTAATTTACCAAATGGATTTCAACGCAGAGGTATTTAAATTAAAGCCTTTAATATGTAGTGTGATATTCTATGAAGTTTGTACGGAAAATATATTATTATTTGGTTTTTTATTTCAAAACAAACACTCATTTAATTTTCCAGAACGTGCAGGATCCCCAGATATAAGGCGGCCAAACGACACAAATAGTATTGGTGTTTCTCGTTCAAAATTACGACGTAGCCGATCGGCTTGTGATATTCGAGATATGAGACCTATTAAGCGTCCCGAATTAACTCTTGCACCTATACCCGCCAAGACAACGCGCCTTGCCAGTGCATGCGTGACTAATAATTCGGCAGTATCAATACAACCATTTTCTTCAAACAGTGCAACTTCCAAACCACCCCGAATAGGCCATGTTGCAGTCTCATCTACCGCAACTGCAAAAAAAATGTGCGCAACAAAATCTCAAAATACTGCAGGTGTAGGGCACAATGGCCCTGGAAGAATTGCCAGTACAAGTAAAGCAACGTCAACAACAGTAACTAAGAAAGGAATAGGGGCGAGTACCACTACCTCTATTTCAACTACTGGAGCTGGAAAATCTATTAATAAACGCATACCGCCTTACGATTTTAAAGCACGATATAATGATTTATTAGAAAAATTCAAAGTACTAAAGGCAAAGTTTGAAGAAAAGTGTGAGCAAATGGGTGCAATGGAAGGTGTACCAGAACAGCTAGAGGAGTCACAGGATCAGTTATTCAAAACAAAAGAGGAGCTAAAAAATATCTATACCGAGAGGGATTGTTTAGGCCAACAAATTAAGTCATTAAAAATGAAAATAGATTCTATTTCGGCATTATGCGTAAAGACGAAAGACGAATTGGACTTTGTAACAAACGAACATAAAGTAGGTATTGATTATTTAAAAAAAATTTGGTTTTTAGTAGTTAAGTGTATATATTTTCTTATAGATCTTGAAAGAAACACACATGACCATTAGTAATGAAGTACTTGAGCTTCGAGAGCGATCAACACGTTTAACAGAAGAAAATATTTTATTACAAGAAGATTTAACTGTTTGTAAGGAACAATTGTTTCGTGCCAATTTAGAACGAAAAGAATTGCATAACACAATTATGGATTTGCGTGGAAATATAAGGGTTTTTTGTCGTGTTAGACCACCACTAGACTATGAACAAGAAAAATTACTATGTGGATGGAATTATATTGATGAATCTACAGTAGAAATTCAAAACTATGAGAACAAGAACAAAAGTGGCGCACATACTTTTTCATTCGATCATGTATTTCACCCTAATTCAAAACAGGAGGATATATTTGAAATGGTATCACCATTAATACAATCGGCGCTAGATGGCTACAATATTTGCATATTTGCCTATGGACAAACAGGCAGCGGGAAAACATATACAATGGATGGTATACCAACCAAGGTCGGTGTAATACCAAGAACAGTAGATTTGCTTTTTGACTCTATTAAGAATTATAAACGCCTTGGATGGGAATATGAGATACGCGTTACATTTCTGGAAATCTACAACGAAGTGCTCTATGATCTTTTGAGCAATGAACAAAAAGACATGGAAATACGCATGGCCAAACATAATAAGAATGACATATATGTTTCCAACATAACACAAGAGACAGTTACGTCAGCGTCGCGGTTACGGGATCTTATGCATGTGGCTAAAATGAATCGAGCTACGGCTTCAACTGCGGGAAACGAGCGATCATCGAGATCACATGCAGTTACTAAAATAGAACTTATTGGCTATCACGCTGAGAAAAATGAAACGTCGGTCGGTACAATCAATCTCGTTGATCTTGCCGGTTCCGAGTCGCCGAAAACAAGCACACGCATGAACGAAACGAAAAACATTAATCGATCCCTTTCTGAGCTTACCAATGTTATCTTAGCATTGTTGCAGAAACAAGACCATATACCATATCGTAATTCGAAGCTAACACATTTATTAATGCCATCATTGGGTGGAAACTCGAAAACATTAATGTTTATAAATGTGGCACCATTTCTAGACTGTTTTGTGGAGTCGGTTAAGTCTTTGCGTTTCGCAGCATCCGTTAATTCATGTAAAATGACGAAAGCGAAACGCAACAGATTTTTAAATACTTCTAGCAATAATTCACTCTAAAATTAGTGCCATGCTGTGGTTAGATTAGATAATGATTTTTCTATTTTTGTACAAATTTTCGTTGCCTGCTTGTATTTTTTGTGCTTTTCTAAAAATCATTAATTCCTTCTATTAGTTTTGTATTTTGTGTTATTATTTTTTAATAAAAAAAATGAGCTCACATAAACTTCTTATATTTGTATACCCTCGCAACATGTTGGTACAGAGAATTATAGATTTTTTCACCTAACAGTTGTTTGTTACACCTAAAACTAATCGGGTTAGATATGGAATTATAATTATTGTACATATATGTGTATATATAACTGATCAGGATGACGAGTCGAGTTGAATTCTGGTTGACTGTTCGTTCGCCTGTCCGTAAAAATTGAAATATCTTTGTGAAACTTGTTTCAAGTATTGTTACCGGCGTAATCGGAACACTGCTACGCTCACAAAACGCCATTAAATAACAACTTATAAAAAGTGCTATAACTAAGCCGAAAATTAAGATACAAAACTGTGGATTGTAGTAGGAAAGGATATCTATGGAGTGAAACTTTTATAAAGTGAAGTGAGTATTAACCCCTTAATTATCAGTGGCAGGTCCAGAACTTCTTGAACCCGAATCAAATGTTTTGTTACAACTGAACTTAGCCTTCCTTACTTCTTTGATGTTGTATTAATTTTTGAAAATAACATTTTTGCAATTGCGATCCCTTGTCGAGTAAAATTACAGATTTCAAATACGTATAGTTATCACTATATAGGGTATTAGCCTTTTTATTTCAAATCGCTGTTTTTCTTAAAACAATGAAATCAAAAATAAATACATTTCATATCCCGAGAACTTGATTTTGATCGTTGTTTTTCTATGCCATGGTAGTGCCAGGGCAAACAAAATGATCATAAACACATCCCAACACGTGAAAAATCTGGTTGCAAAGCAACTCGTGATTTCATCCGAATTCCGTATTTGGGATATCGATAGTACGAAAATAAATAGGGAATCAGGTAAATTACATTTTGGCGCTAAGATCATATATATTTAATGCTTTAATTAGTATTCCATGCCCAAAAAAACAAAACGGATTTGTTTACTTAGTTTACTCAACTGAATTTTGAATTGCTATTAATTATTTTATTTTATGTGAAACCTATGAAATCCGAAAAATTAACAACAATTACAATTGTTTTTTATCAAGTGATTATAAACCGATTCAAAACATTTTCAAAAAAATAGCACTTTCTGAAAACGTACTTAGGGTAATATGGAAATACACACTAGCAGTTATTTTCTTAAAGACATCATAAAGAAAATGTTTTATGCGCGCAAAGTCGCTATAATATCACTAGGTACCTGGCGAGCGATTTCGGAATGTGATATTTCAGGAATTGTTGCTAAGACACCCATCCGATTTTTATAATCTACATCAGCTGCATATGAGTAGTGAACGCCTGTTAAGTCGGTAAGGGTGCCGCCGTATGCTTCTAATACCGCTTCCGGTGCACAAGTGTCCCACCGTTTGCAACCCGGACTAGCAAATACATATGCGTGTGCCTTGCCTTCAAGTAATTGTAATACTTTGTAACCAGCGCCCCCAACTTTAATTACTTTGGTTGGTGAAAGAGCATCTAATGCTTGTTGTACCAGTGGTGTTAAATGTGAACGTGTAGTCGTAATAATCATTTGCCCTTTGGGTGGACTTATATGTTCAAATCCCCCTGTGCCTAATCCTTTAAGGCCCCATATAGTTCTGCCTATATCGCCATTAGAGTGTTTGTAGTAGGGTTGATAAATGACGCCCCCAATAGCACGATCTTTAATTGCTATCCCAATTAGCACCGTGACATGCTCTAATAAACCTTAATAAAGATAAACTTTGAATTGATAAATTACACTTGTTTTTAAATATGTTGTACCTTTAGTGTATTCTGATGTGCCGTCTAAAGGATCAACCCATATCACGAATTCCTCCTCTTTAATCTCAAGCAATTCCTCTGGGCAATTACGTGTAAGGAATTCTTCGCTTTCCTCTGTTACCAACCACTCCCCTTTGACATTTAAGTTTGAGTCGCCCTCCTCACCAATGATTGTAATATTAGGAAATTTTCTCGATAGAGAAGCAATAATACATTGTTGAGCTGATCGGTCGGCCTCTGTTTGTAAGTCGTCTTTGCCCTAATAAATGTATCGGTCATGAATTTTTATATGTATGTGCAGTGCTAATACCTCTTTCTCCACAATACCTAGATTGCCGCGATGCATCACTTCTCGAATGATTGAGCCTGCACGGATCGCAGTGTTGATGGACAAAGCCATGATACGCATCACTTTAGGAGTTGTCATTGTCTGCTATAAATATACTTTTATATTATTTCACAAAAATTTCTGCTTTTGTAACGTAGAGCGTCTGAGGGAACTGTAAGCCTATACAAATAAAAATTATCGTGTTATCGAATGTCATGATTTGATACAATACTCGACTCATTCTAATTCACTATCAGTACTAATTGAAATACTAAAACCTAATATAATTTTAAATGTATTTACAATTTTGGGATTTTAGGTTTGGTATAGGATTATTTTCATCGTGGTATCCAAAAATTTTATAGTTTAACACCAATGTCTCCATAAAATCGTTAATATTGTGAAGACCACGGATGATAGAACAAAATCGAATCGACGATAAATTGCCAGAATCAACTAGGCAGCGATTTCGTAGTTGACAGAATGTTTTTGAGGCGAAGTTTTGTTCAAGATCTACTATATAAGCAGAGAATTTTAATGAATAGAGAAGGCGCAGATGTTAAATGAAATCTTTTTGAGTACTAATTTGTAATTCCAGATGAGGGAACATCGAAAAATATAACACAATGTGCGAAATGTTATAAATAGACACAACGAATATTCCTATATGCAAATTGTAATTCACTCTTGAGTTCGATAACTGGATTGTTGAATAAAAGTCTCAATTAAATGGTTATACACTTATCTTTATTTCTAATCCAAACAACTTAACGCTTTACTACTCATTATCCGAATTCACAACTTCTTACTTATATCTTAATTGCTCTTTACACGGTGACAATATAAATGAGTTATAATTTAATGAGAAATCCGTAACAATATTATTGATCAATGCATATAATTATTATTTTGTAGAGGGTGATTGGGTTTTTTATTTATTTTGATTGCTTTCATTCGTTTGGATATGTCAACACTTATTATCTGACAACATGGAACCCATTTGTTATTGTTCAAATTACGAAAATTGTGTAAAAATAAAATGCTTATTTAAAGCAAATATTTAAATATTTAATATAAAATAAATATGTAGAAACATTGTAGTGAAGTGTTAGTGTGTAATAAGTGCATAATATAAAACAAAAGTTAACCATAAATCGAGAAATTGTAAAATAAAATTTGTGAAATTTTCAACTTAAAATGCAAATATCTCGAAAACTATCAGTTTTCGGCGGCAATAATTATATATATTCGTGATCTGGAAAATCTCCTCTATTTAACCATACCCCTCTTAACCCTGAAATCGTGGGATGCTAAACTAAAGTTTCCCCATAAAAAAAATAAATCGTTATGTTTTTGTAGGGGGTCGGCTTTAGAATAACGTCCCAGGCTTTCTGGGATAAAATGGGTATGGGCGGATAGAGGAGATCCTCCAGTTCAAAAATATATATAGCCGCGGGAAACTTATAGTTTTCGAGATATTTACGTTTAAAGTTGAAAATTTCAACTATTTAAAGTACGTATTTTTGCGATTTAAAATGAATTATACACTCATATTTTTCACTTTTATATCCACTAACACTTGACTAATTCGTTTTTAGAAATTTTTTTATATTAGATGCTGCAAAAATAGTGTGACGAACACGGATGATAGAACAAACGACGATAAATTGCCAGAAGCAACTAGACAGCGAATTCGTAGTTGCCAGAATGTTCTAGTAGTAAAGTAGTTAGCGAATTCATAGTTGCCAGAATGTTCTAGAAGCAATGTTTTGTTACAGATTTACTATATAAGGGCTGCCGGATTGTGCAGCAAACACAGTTCTAGTTAGAGTGTTGTCGTGATAAGAGCAATCAAGCTATTAGCAAGAAGTTGTAAGCTCGAATAATGAGCAATAAGTGTTAAGTTGTTGGAATTAGAAATAAAGATAAGTGTGTAGCCATTAAATTGGGACTTTTATTTAACAATCCAGTGATCGAACTCAAGAGTGAGTTACAGGTAGACGATTTATCGAGAAATCCGTTACAATAGCTTTATTTCAATATTTAAATCATTCTTCAATTTTAATAATTTTGACAATAACAAAATGGTTGTGAATGTCAAAACATCAGTGTTGCCATACTAATATATTTTGTAAACAAAGAAAAATAAAATAAACAGAGAGATTGTACCCTAGATACAGGAAACAACGCAAAAAGAATTTCTGCGCGTAAAAACTTTGGTACACCCCGGTGTTGGACCGACGTTATTTTTTTTTTTGAAGCGCGGCCGAAGGCCTCCAACGCAAAAAGAAGTTCTACAAGAAATAAGTAATATTGTCATAGAGGGTATAACATAATACTTAACATCAATGCTTTATAATAGTTTATTTCTCTAGGTTTTGGATTCCTGTTTTGGGGGTATTATCTGTTTTAATTTCTTTCAGTTCAATTACAAAAGATGTCGATAAGGTAACACTGGTTATTTGAAATTTTGCAACCCTTTTGTTATTGTCAGAACTAATAGAATTTAACAATAATTTAATTATTGAATTAAACTATTTTTGCATTATATAATGTAAAATAAATGTGTACAAACGAATTAGGGAAGTGTTAGTGGATATAAAAGTGTAAAATATAATTGTATAACTCATTTGAAATGGAAAAAATGCGTACTTTAAATAGTCGAAATTTTGAACTTTAAACCCAAATATCTTGAAAACTATAAGTTTCCCGCGGCTATATCTATATTCTTTATGTTGTTGTTGTTGTTGTTATAGCGGCAGAATTCTACCGAGTTGACAGTCCTTGGCCGGAATAAATCCGGGTCCGTTCCGGTTACGTAGACCCGACTGTCGTGGGAACGGTCTATATTCTTTATCTGGAGGATCTCCTCTATCCGCCCATACCCATTTTATCCCCGAGAGCCTGGGACGTTATACTAAAGTTTTCCCTTTGTAGGTGCTGAGTTGTACAAAAGATTGAGTTGAATTGAAAAATAATAATCCTATCCCCTTAGACACACCCTGTTTTGAAAAATAATAATCCTATCCCTTTAGACACACCCTGTTTTGCAAAAATTTTGTTTCGTTTCGTTACGTTCCTCGAATGTGGTTAGTCAAAAAGACCGCGTCCTCACTAAATTGGATGAAATTTGCAATCGTTTAACAAAAAACTTTGTGTGGGAGAACTTTTTGTAACTTTTTTACAATCTTTTAAAAAATGTAAGTACTTAATCAATGTTGTAATATTTGCGTTACTTAACTTTAAATTTATTTGTAGGGCTCTTGTAAAACCAAAATCTGAACTGACACCTGAGGAACTTGCACGCCAAGAGGAAGAAGAATTCAACACTGGCCCCCTTTCCGTTCTAACTCAATCCGTGAAAAACAATACACAAGTTTTAATTAACTGTCGCAATAACAAGAAGCTTCTTGGTCGTGTAAAGGCTTTCGATCGCCACTGTAATATGGTTCTGGAAAGTGTTAAGGAAATGTGGACTGAATTGCCTCGTACTGGAAAAGGCAAGAAGAAAGTTAAACCAGTTAACAAAGATCGCTTTATATCGAAAATGTTTTTACGCGGCGATTCAGTGATTTTGGTATTGAGAAATCCTTTGGCGACAGCAGCAGGGAAATGAGATATTTTCTGCGTTCACATTAGTTTATACAATATATATGTAGGCATTATGGTAATCAAGACAGAATAATACAATATTTTTGAAAGAAGACGAACTAGTATTATTTAATTACGAAAATGATTTACAATTGATTGCAAAAATAAATACCTCAGTTGCCTGAAAGCTGTTTGTGAACGAAGGGAACATAATCATCCCATTGCGCTAGATAAAAGTTGCCTGCTACAGGATAACCAAGGCCATAATTTGAAGCAAAATTAGCTACACGGAATTTAGGACGTTCTTCTCTGCTGTTATTTCCAACTCGTGCCTCATGGAATTCTAACTTCCCATTTTGTTTATACAGCAGGAATACATAACGATGCAGTCCTGTATTTTTGGGGGGTCCTGCGCCAACATAAGCGCTTAAAACTTCACCTTTGGAAATGTCATTGACTGGAATGTTAACCACTAACCAGTGTTTGAACTCGCGTAATTTGGGTGCATTGCGACATGGTGCGTCTGGATCTGTCATTATAAGTGTGTAAAATAAGTATTGATCCGCCTCCCATTCTACCAAAGGTTGTGACTTTACTTGAGTTGGTGTGAGTTCTACGCCCGCTTTCACTTCCAAGCCGTCGGTATATGTGACCTGTATGTTTCATAATTATTGAAGTTTAAAGTTTACATACATATGTATTTCAATTTAAAGTTTTTGGCAAGACCTTTAAAAACCGGTTTGGTGCATATGGTACAACATCTGGAACTATTTCATGTTGCTCGAATATTGTCTTTACGTCATTTGTTTCGTTTGCATTTATGTTGGCCCCGATCAGCAAAAGCCAAAATATTTTCATCATCTTTGAGTTCATCATCATAAACGTCCTGTGATGGGTTGACTATATTTTATAATCGATAGAATTAGTTTGTGAAATCTAACAGTAATATACTGTATTTTAAGCGATTGTATTAGGCGTAACTAACAAGTACAGCAGTGAACAAAAAATAATTATACGAGAGCTTTTAAGGTAAAGTTGAGGTAAGCTTTTACTTGGTACGGGGCATTCCATTATCACGGAGGGCGATTTTATATATAATATTGATAACGATCTTACTAACTAACTTATGATTAATATATTGCTCAATCTTGGGTTTTTTGTGGGTTTACATATCTGGTTTGTAGTAACTGCAGATGTATTTTTTAAATGGACATATTAACTACCTGCCAGATTTTCTATCAGTTTAATCTGCCTCACGCCATCCAGAATATAAGAGTGGAGATCCTCTTCACCGACAGCCGGTTCTTCGTTACCGGAACTGACCCGGATTTTAACCGGCCAAGGGCTGTTATTTCGGTGATTTAACCCTATTTGGATCGGTAAGTGTTGTTAGTGTTAGTGTGGGGACCGAAAGCTAGAGGGGCTCTGTTACAGCGGCTGAGATCGGCTCATTCCTATTCGATTATGTATAATACTTGTCCGCTAGATCATGTGCTGAACAATTTAATTTTATATATGTAGCTTACTGATTTAATAAATAACAACCCTTCGTCGGTTAAAATCGGTGTTGATTCCGGTATTCATGGATCGTGGGGAAAAATTGAGGCTGCCGAATGTTATGTCTAGGTTGAATTTCACTGTTATCGTCCAAAAAGTAAAAAGATGTACTATTTGAATTGTGCAGCTTGAGTGCAAAGTGAAGTCCTCTGCCTGATTGCAATAAATTTGCTTTCAATTTTATAAGGGGCAACTGTACGTAGCTGAAAGTCAGGTTGGTAATGATCGTAATTAAATATATTCTTGAAATAGCTCATAACAGGTACTGAGGAATTTTGATTTCATCTTAACTCACACGGTCTGGATATACATAGAATAGTATAGATAAAAAATGAGGTCTGCACCGCAACCTAAGGACTATTGTGCCCTGCCCTAAGTCACAACGACTTACATAGCCCCAGCACATTGATGAATTCCAAAATACTGCTAGGTGCTATTGAAGCGAAGTGATTTTGGAAACATAGTTCCAAAGGCCTTAATTCTGCGCCTGCAGACTGCTGTGTTTCCGGTTCTATGTCGTAGAACTCGCAAATTGCACAAGAGGCTAGGTTAAATAGGTACTTCTTGAACTTAGTCAGTGTAGAATGAGACAAGCAGCCGGAATTTGTTTCTTGAGAGATTAATTACACTTTTAAACCTGCTGGGCTTGTAACCACCTATTAGCAACCTGGTATGGGGCAGGCCTTGGAGTTGCTGCCAATACTTTTCCCTGCCTACTTTTTCATTCTTGCGGAGCAGCTCCTTAATGGTATGAGGACCAACCTTAATATAGGATTTCGGTCCTACGATTCTGGTGGAAGCTGCTGAGCGGGCAAGCTCCTCAGCGAGTTCATTCCCGGCTATACCCTTGTGACCGGACACCCAGATAAGATGCACTTAGCAGCTCAGCAGTAGGGATTTAATATCATAAGCAGAGATCGCTTTAAGTGCCGATTGACTTTCGCTGAGTATGACGATACTTTCGTTGCAGATTTATTTCTATACACCGGCTCATAAAAAAGATGGAAAAACTTTCCATAGGTACGTAGAGTTTGGTACGTGGTCCTGCAACTCCTGCACCAATTCCCTCCGACGTTTTCAAGCCGTCGATGAACCACTTGTTTGTGTTTTCCTTTAGCAGTAGATCGTGCATGGAAGCATTCAACTTCAACTTTAAATTTCTTAGTGAAGTTTACCATTTTGCTAATGCTGTCCTTTGGGAAAAGAGTATTTCATCACTTGAGGCCTTCATTTGCTGGGACGAGATTACCTTCCCTCTGCCAAACCCTTCTGTTGCCATTTGAAACGTTGTATGTTTGCCTGCTTGATTAATTACTATGTGAAGCGATGTCAGTTCTTCCAGTGCTGCTGTCTTGCACGTACGCACTGCACTCGACGCGCCGATGTAGACAGATAGTTGATGTCACAACATGAGTGCTTTCGTAGTTTTGACTACGGTCAGGTTCACATGCTGCTTCTACCGAAGAGTGGAATCCAAAGCAATTCCCGCATTTAACCGCAATGGTCATCTCTAACCCTCTGCCTCAGAAAAAAAAAAATTCTTGAGGCCGGGACCTTTCAACCTGTCACAGAAAGTGTCTACAATTTATCCCTAGCTAATATAACAATGTCATTCACATATCCCTGGCAGCGAATCCCATTGTTAGTTAGCAATTAAATTAGGTCATCTACCACTATGCTCCATAATAAGGGGGTAGTACTCCACGCTATGGGAAGTCTCCTGTTGTATATCCTACTGTGGTTTCAGCTATCTTAGTGCTCAGTACGGCCTCTATCCATCTGCTTACCTCTGCTGCCACATTAATTTTCTGCATGCGTGGAATGTCCTCTCCCCTTTGCGCAGAGGACGGGACCTTTCCAGCCAAACATCTTGGGGGCGATATCCCTTAGCCAGTTGTCGGACCTCTCGTTCTTGCAGTCTGCCTGTAGCATACCTCCCTTGAAGTACACCTAATGGGAGGATACTGGGTAACCACACTCCGTATACACCTCCTCAATGAGAAAATCTTGATAAGCTCCTCTGACCTCAGAGTCTCCGCCGGGTAGTTGAGAGGCGGCACAGTCATCCGTATGCTTTTTAAAGCATCCGCTTATCTGCGCTGTCCCTCCACCACCCAAGGGTGAATTCGGGGCGGAGTGTTGGCTTCCGGCCACCTGTGCGTAATTGCCCTTTTGTCTTTTGGAGTTTGGTGGCTTCTGTGATGTTATCTGACCGCTCTTGCATATTGCGTTTTGGGTGGTCGGAGGCGCCGCTTTGGCTACCTCAGGAGTTCTTCTCGTCTACAGATGCCTCAGGTACCACTTTACGCTGTCACCGCTCAAACTCTTTCTTGGAGGATCGTCGTATCCGCTACGACAACCTACTGGTGGTAGAGGGGGCAATCTGCGTCCCCTTTTCCTTCTCTTTCTACAAGAACCCCCTGTACAAGCCCTTGCGACGACCCGAAAACGAAGAGCTGAGCCAGCTGGGAATAGATTTTTGGTGCTGTTCGCTTCAACAACAACGATCGTAGTAGATGTCGCCTGAGCGCTGCTGCATGAGGGCATGTTATCGTCCTCAGGCGATAGGGCATCCAGAAAACTGAACTTTCGTTTTGCTCCTGAACACCCCTTACCTGCATCGATGCTGTCGTTGTTGCCATTGTCCTTTGTCGTTTGCCGTGGTTGTTGTCTTGACATAGTTGTTGTTGTTGTGGTTTTATTTGTGCTCTCCATCTTTGTTGGGAGGTGCCGAGTATGCCGTGCAACTTAAACCTCTGCACCACAACAAGGAGCCTGCTATTCGCAGAAAGATATACAGTGAACAAAAAAGAACTTGTATAGGGAGATGGTCTGACTTTGAAGTGACTTCTCTTCTAAACTATTAAAACTTTTGAGTTGTATCCAAAAGAGAGAAAAAAGTCGTTTTATAAATTTCCATAATGAAATTGAAATTTCTTTTCAAAAATCCAGTTTTTTCCAAAAAATAAAAATGCAAAATAACAACATTTTCGAAGACTAAAAAAAACTTGTACAGTTTGCATAATATAAATAATATTTATTCATAGAAATGAAAGATAATGGTAATTGATAAAAAAAGGGTGCCTGATAATTATCAAGTTCCATAATTGGAAATCCAGGCAAGGTTGAAATTTGTTCTTGTTTTCACATATAAAATTTTAGACACAGCGCTCAAAGATAGCAATCAGAGAAATGGCAAATCGAATTATTTGTCTTTGGTGATTCATGGAGCACTAAAAAGTAAGCTTATTTATACACTTGTAAACTTTTATTATTTTAAAGAGACATTCAAACTACACTAAAGGTGACTTCTTTCCAGATAATTGCCTATGCACAGTAGGAACATACTCGTCCCACTGCGCTTGAAAGAAATTTCCTGCAACGGGGTCACCCAATTTATATTTCTTCGCAAATTTGGTTGCACTGAAGTTCGGTCGATTTTGACTACTATTCTTTGGTACGTGAGACTCCTGAAAACGTATTTCGGCTGGTTGTTTGTATACTAAGAAAACATATCGATGGAGACCAGTCCCCTCTGGTGGTCCAGACCCTACATACGCGGTTAACACATCGCCACTACTTATATCCATTCCGTGAATATTGGTAACCAACCAGTGATTAAATTCACGAAATTTCGGATTGCTGCGGCTTGGTGCATCCGGATCTGTCATAATTATCGTATAAAAGGCATCGCTTTCGGCATTCCATTCGATTGAGGGCTGTGCTGCTACCTGTGTCGGTGTTAGTTCCTTTCCATTTTCAGCCAATACGTTCTTGTAATTGACCTGAGAAAATTCTTTTGTTATTTGCAAAGCCATATGCTATTATTTTTCCAACCTTTAAAAATTGCTTTGGGGCCACAGGTATGACGTCAGGCACAACTTTGTGTTGCTTGAAAATATCTTCCGTAGTACCAGATGTTGTAGCTGAAGCCATTGCGTTGCATTCTGAAGTTTGTTTTAAGACACATTAGACATACAATTTCGAAGCAAGATTATGATTAATAAAATCTTTGGCTACCATACCAAGTCTTTCATTAAGTTTAAGTTCTTCGGCGAGATCAAAATATTATTTATGATTGATAGCTTGATGTAAAAATTTTTGATTTTGTTATTATTTTATTATTATTATTATCTACATTTCAATGATTGAATCTGATGTATGTAAGCATAAATAGAGTTTCCCCAAGGCTTATATTGTATAATACAATATTATGTCACTCGCCATCCTGGGACGAAGATGAACCAATCCGGGTTGTTACCAGAATTTAAAAAAAGTTAAAAATGTTTTTGAATACCATGTAGACAAAGAAAAATAGGTAGTTGGGGCAATCGACAAATATCTCGGGATTATTCTAGATAAAAAACGTAGCACATTGAAAGTAGGGCTTCTAAAGCCCTTTGAATATGGACTTTCTGCAGTAGGGTCATTGCCCCAAAGTGGGGTTTACGACCTCACATGGTCTATTAGCTTTACTGCTTGCTGGGGATTACGGGCGAAATAAAAACTATATCAACAAAGGCTCTGGATGTGATATCCGCTGATTATATATTCAAGTGAAGTATGATGCAATGCTTACGGCCAGCCGGCTCATAATTTTAGGCCATTGGAACCATCACTGTGGCCATGTGATTATGCTCGACCTTGTTAGCAATGTTTTCATTCCCCAGTAGAGAAGAATGCACCCATTGTTCTGTGATCGACAGTTTCAACGTCGGAATCCACATATTCACCAACGGATTAAAGGTGAAATAGCAAGAGGATTAAGCTTCTGTAGTAATACATTCGCTGAAGGTAGCTTTAAACTAAATGATTGCAATTGTTTTTTTCAGACCAAATAACGGGCCAAGTGGGCTTCTAACTAGTAAATCCATAAATCTTCAGCAAGCAGCCAATTAGGCTTATCCGTATCGCCTATACTAAATTTGACTGCGTTAGGTTATGCAAGGAGGCAATAACTAGATTCTCAGAGGGTCTATCGTTAAATATCATCCCAGTCATATATTTAGGAACAGTAGGAAACGAAAGGCAGTCGAGTTGGCCCGCTCAGGGGCAGCCAGGAAAAAAATTCCCCTAAGCTGCCCTAGACCACTCAGCTCCTTCAAGAGTTGTTTGTAACGATTGGCCCTAGAGGAACACCTCAGGTCTTGGAACGCTAGCAACGTATGGCATACCACAAGGTACTTTTGGGTAGTGATGATAGTGGACAGACTTCTATTTCTAGGCAAAATGGATCTTAGTAACATTGTAGGGGTCCTCACAGGGCATCTACCCTTAAGATCCTACTCTCCGAAAGATTTCAGTTCGATTGCTAAAAACTGAGGGGCTAGTTTGTATATATGCAGACAGACGGACAGACAGACAGACGGACATGGCTAAATCAACTCAGCTCATCATTCTGATCATTTATGTATATATTTTATAGGGTCTTCGACAATTCCTTCTGGGTGTTACAAACTTCGTGGCAAACTTAATATACCCTGTTCAGGGTATAAAAATTATGTCAAGTAGAGGTCGTAAAAGATATGATTGATTAAGTGTTGGAATACCATACTTGTATTGGCCCAAAAGAATTTTTTTTGTCACTCCGGGTCAAAATTGCTTTGGTATAAACAAGGTTTGCTATCGCTTTAAAACTCTGTAGCTCCTCTGTTTTTTCCAAAATCCGCACCACCACTTGCACGAGTGTTTAAAACTAAAACGCGGGGGTAATTTGTTTGTATAATTTATTATTTATTTTCAAATGTCTTTCCTTCTACTTGTATTTGGTACAATAAATTAAGTTTGGAAAACGATTCGCTAATCGTAATCTCGTACGCTGTCCAGTGGAATCAGGAACCGAATTCGAATCAAATATTATATATAATATTAATTGTATTGCGAAGGATCGCTGACACAAAAATATATAAGCGAATGTGAACGGTTGATGTGGCGCTCAGGTTCGTAGACGAAAACGAATGTGTTGAATTGAAGATCCAATCCCTTTAACTTGTGTGGTGACATCCTGTGTAGTGTGGTCGTGTATGTTGTGAGTGTGAGTTGTGTTTCAAGGTGTGGTGTGAGGTATTAGGGTGTGTCATTATTTACCTGGATGGAGCGGAGTACTTGGAGGGGAGTTTATAGTCATTTAAACATCCTGGGCCCCCTAGGGGAATATTTTGCCTAGTATTACATATATGCTGTAAATGCAGTATTGGTATATCCATATTTATCTGTAGGCGATTTTGGTTTTATATCAAAATTTGTATTTTTATGTTGGTACTAGTGCTTAGATAAGATAAGCACTAGTTTATTGTGCGCGACGGTATCATATTGATATACCCTTAATATGAGTTTTCTGGCTTGACGACTAATTATTATGTGAAACTTGTATATTTGTTATTTTTATTGGCGATTATTTATTATTTCTTTATTATCGGCCTATAGGCTAACGACTCCACGTCTGGCTCAGGTGCGGCCACATTGGGTGCTCCATTGAAACCTTTGAAGAGGGATTTTGCGAGAGTACAGTGATTAGCCGTGAATTGAGAATGAATTTTTTGGAGGTAGTAATGTGGTAAATTCGATATATTTATATTTGTAATATCCATCTACTTTTTTGAAGAAGGATTGGAAGATAGATTATATCTGATTCCCATAATCCACCCATATGAGGAGCGCTTAGATAGATGCGATAAGTGCCACCTTTTTAGTTTAATTTTTGAATAATTTTATAATTGAGTTTCTTCGGACTATTCTGTTATATGTTATGTTAAGTACGTATGCGGGGTCGAAAAGTTACATATTTGGATTTTTAAAACTAATCTTCTCAGAAGAGACTCTGACTTTGTTTTTTCTACAAATTCGTGGAGTGTTGGAACAATGTGAATTTAATGGCAGTCGTATGCCATACCGACCATTATTTGTTTTAGTAGTTGTGGCTTTGTAAAAGTCTTCACAATACTGATCTTCTGGGGTTGTAATTAATATAAGGGGGAGTTTTCTAAATCCCGAAATTTCCTTAAATGTAAATTAAAATATTCTTTTGAATTTTCGTCAACTTAAGTTGTTGATATGGAAACTAGTTCAATAACTAGATCACTTACAATCCAACCGAATATAGTATTTTGGGCTAAAAGGGTGGTTGACATTTTTTCAACACCTTCAAGTATTATTTGCGGTATAAGGTCGCCGCCTACTATTATACCTATTTGAGCGGGGGTATTTCAGTTGGGATCTGCAAGTTTCAGGTTTGAAACCTTTTGCCAATGCTTGCTATTTGGCTGATAGCTTGGAAGCATATTTGTAAGTCGCGGAAAGACTATAGCTTCTTCTTGAATGTGCTTATCTGCTTTGGGGAAATTTGGGTAATGGGGCGACTCTTCCGTCCATTCCTGTAATGTCAAAATTTAATTGTTTTGATGGCAGTTTGAGCCTATTTTGTGCCCTTGTTCCTAGCTAAGAAGGATCGTTGTGATCCTTGGATCAAAGTTGGTAGAGTTCTCCTAGATGTTCGATGGAGCCACTGCCGTGGGTAGTAATACCCTATTTTGTATTTCGCTGTAAAGCGTCTAAGTTTTTTGTTTGTGAACTTGAGCAGCATAGTGTTTCTTGCCAATTTTTAAGATTTTGTTTTATGGGAGTTGTTGTTACAACTATAAACGTGTTTTTTTTGTATAAGCGCTTCTTTGGGGTGAAATAGAAATTTGCTGTAATGATGCATTGAGTGGTGTCTTTGGTGACAATATAAGCAATTTAACGTTGGTGTGTGGCTGCTTGCATCGAGTATGGCAAGCGAAAATGGGCAAACCTCCTGGGTACTTATGGTTGTTCCAAAGTTTAGAATTCCTGAAGCTCTTAACGTGCAGTACAAAGGTCCAAGAGGAGGGCACTTGAGAATGACGGAAACTTTGGAGAAATTGAAGCAAAGGTTTTATGGGACTGGTTGTCGTCAATCAGCTATGGAGAGGAGTGCCAAATATGCTGAGTGCATTGTAGCTGAAGGATCAAGGTCCAGGAGTCATGGCCAGATGAAAAGGCACAATTCGGGTGCGCCGGTTGAGTAAATAGGCATGGATGAAGATCTTCCATTTCCCACCAATAAATTAGAAATAGTCATGTTTTGGTACTCAAGGACCATTTCAACGAATGGCCAGAAGTATACACAATTCCTAATCAAGAGTCTGAACCAGTGGCGGACGCATTCATCAATAAGTGCTAAGTTGTTGGAATTATAAATAAAGACAAGTGTATAGCCATTAAATTGGGACTTTTATTTAACAATCCAGTGATCGAGCTCAAGAGTGAGTTACAAGTTAGACAATTTATCGAGAAATCCTTCTCCTACAACAGTAATGGCACAAACAGTCATCGACGCAAAACCGTGGACCGAATCAGCTGATGTAACCTATCTTATGAGAGCGTAATGTAAATGAAGAGTCACCAACACTTCTACTGTCCGCTTCAACAGACCGTACGGTAGGATATCCGCGAGAAACGAGTGACCTGAGAGTGAGAGAGCAATCTCCTGCAACGCAGGGTTGCCAATCTCGACATTTTATAGTAATTTAGAAGTGAACTTGAATATATTTGAAATATTCCTAAAATAACTCAAAATTACAGTCGAATACACTTATTTATAAATAGGTAAACTATTATATGCATTGCAACTACGGGCATAACTTTTGACAAATTTGGTTTAATACGGGCGGTAAGTACGGAAGGGAGGAATGTCGGTGACTGTTTGTGCTATAAGCAGGATCACAATAAAAAAATAAGCAAAGGCAAATTATAAAATACAAAAAAAAAAACCAGAGAAAAAAAATATATATAAACATATATATATGCAAACTGACATAACATATATAATGTATATGTAGTAGTTGAGGCGCAAATAATAAAACCACGTTCAACTCGTTACTTATATTTTACTTAAATATATAAATTTAACTTACGCTAGAACACGTCTTATCACGTTGATTATCACGGATGATCAATAGAGAAGAAGGCATGGATAAAATCATGGATAAAATGATCCGAAACTCTTTGATTTGAGAGAGCGCTGTCAAAGTCAACATTTTTTATAACATTTGACAGTGGTGCCATTAAGGGAAGAAATAAGTTTTGAGATTTTTAAATGTATTTCTTGGGTATTTTTAGGTTTCCATTTTACAGAAAAAAATACATAATTAAAATTAGTTTAACAAGCTAGATATCCTATATGACTTCTAAATATAAGTACATGTATACTTTAATCACAAAAGATTTTCAAAATTAACGATAAAAACTAAATTTAACAAAATATTTTAATATTTCAAAACACACAAGTTTAAAATAACCTAAACATGATCCTTATTTCTTTTTTATATACTCAATTAACAAATATCTTTTGATAATTTATTCGGAAGTCAAAGTTTACATAACATTTGCTGGGAATTCTAACCAAAATAAGTATATACGTTGGCAATTGGTACTTCCAGAGAATGTAAATGAATATTCAAAAGAATACTTTGCGACAAAATACCGCTCTTTCTTAAAAACAAAACTATATTAAATCTCTTTAAATAAGGATTACAAATATACGCAAAAGTCACCAAAAAATCTGATCTCACAAATTACCCACTGATTTCGCAATTTATTTCTAATCGATTCTTAGTAGTAGCAGAGAACCTAAATGAATAGAGATGGAGCAAATGTTAAATGAAATCTTTTTGAGTACTAATTTGTAATTCCAGATGAGGGAACATCGAAAAATATAACTTCGAAAAAGAAAAATACACCACACAATATGCGAAAACGATAACAATGAAACGGTGGCTAAGCGGCCGCGTTTCCACTTTTGTGGTGGCTGAGGTTGTAAGCGGGAAGAGGTTAAGCACAATCCGAATACGAACCTATACGTTCGAATCGTAAAACTCATGAAACTGAAATTTTATTTAATTTTTTATTTTATTAATTGGAATCTAAGCATATCATAATTCAATTTCTTTAATAGCATATTTTATTAATTTCTTTAATTGAATATTTCCTTATTAGGCGTATTTACGCAAATGTGATAATCACACATACATTCTTAAATACACGTACGCTGATGCTTGCTTCTTCTTGTACCGCACAAGCAATGACTTTTGTCTACGCTTTTTGCTTTTTGCCAGTTGAACGATCGCAGGCAAGGAGGGACTGGGGCGCACTGCCACATAATTATTTCAGATAGTTTTTAAAACGAATTTATTTTAAAAACGATTATAGGTATGAATTTATTTGTATTTTTATTTTTACGTATCTATTAATTATATTACGTCAGTAAGTCATTAATGCATAAGTATTTTTCAATACAAATTAAGCAACATATTAATATATTATGAGCCCTCGCTTGACACGCCTCTGTGCATGGT